ATGAGATAGAGAGCATGAGAGAGGGGAGGGTCAGAGGGAGAAGCAGACTCCCCGCCGAGCAGGGAGCCCGATGCGGGACTCGATCCCGGGACTCCAGGATCGTGACCTGAGCCGAAGGCAGTCGCTTAACCGACTGAGCCACCCAGGCGCCCAAAAGGCCTCAATTTTTATCTATCTGGAAAAGTCACAATAATGCTGAGACTAATAAGTCACCCACCATTAGGGTAGCAGGGAACACACTTTCTGCTGAGATGCCTCATTTTTCATTTCAAGAAGCAAGAAATTGAGTAGCAAGAAAAAAATTACTAGAGAATGTCTCTATGAACCCAGGATATAGATTTTTCTTAAGAAGACTGAAAAAGCACAATCCATAAATTCAACTGCATCAAAAATACACTTCTGTTCATCAGAAGATAATACAAAGACAATGAAAAGGGAGACTATATTTGTAACACAGGTAACCAACAGAAGATTAGAAACCAGAAAAAAAGGTTTAATTCTTCCAAATCGATAAAAAAGAGACAATTCAATAAAAAAGGACATAAGACATACACAGGCATTTCATGGAAGAAATACAAAGCCAATTAAATATATGAAAAGATATTTATCTTAATCAGTAATCAGGGAAATACAAATTAAACCCAACAAAGGTAGACCAGGAGCGCCTGGGTGGCTCAGTCGTTAAGTATCTGCCTTCAGCACAGGTCATGATCCCAGGGTCGGGAAAGCCTGCTTCTCCCTCTCCCACTCCCCCTGCTTGTGTTCCTTCTCTCGCTGTGTCTCTCTGTCAAATAAATAAAATCTTTAAAAAAAAAACACACACACACACAAAAAGTCAATTTGACATTTTGTGTGTTTTAAATATACAGTACTTCCTTATTTTCTGGCACTACAAGATGCTTAGCTCTTATCATGTATATTTCCTGCTGTAGTCCCCAAATTAGCCATTTCTCTAAGGATCCCTGGTTTCTTTTATTGGAGAATGACATTAGAAACCAAGATCTGGTGTTAGATGTGCTCACTGCTCTTGGGGTGTTGTTGCCTCTAGGTACTCTCATCTGACAAAACAGGAAATGTACGTGTGTACTAATCCATGTGTATACATATATCCGTAAATATTTCCATATGTAATCATCGGCATCTATATTAAGCTGAATATGAGTTCATACTTAACATCTTCTACTCCAATCCATTATCACAAGTGACATTGGCTCCACCCTTTGCTTATCGGTAACCTCCCACTCTGTGAGAAACTGGGTCCCCCTGCCATCCTCCATCCATTTACTTACTTGTTCATTCCAAAAGACACGTACAGTGGTTTCAAAATTGTTAACCTGAGCACAGTGCTTATGTACAGTTCTTTTCCCCTTTAGTGTTACAGACTCCACTAAGGCTTTCATCATTTTTTTAAAAAAGATTTTAAGATCCCAGGACCCTGGGATCATGACCCAAACTGAAGTCAGATGCTTAACTGACTGAGCCACCCAGACACCCCTAGGTCTTAAAGTTAGGTTTTAAAAAAATCAACTTGATATTTTATCACAGCTTTAATCATAATCGCCAAAAAGTGGTAGCAACCTGAATATCCACAAACAGGTGAATGGATACAGGCTGTGGTCTCTCCATACACTGGAATACTACTGGTGGGCAATAAAAAAGACCAGACTAACTGATGCTCAACAACATGGGTGAATCTCAAAGGCACTGGGTTAAGTGTGAGAGGCCAGGCTTAAAGGGTTCTATACCGTACATTCCTTGTCTTACAGAAATCACCTCAGCAGCTGCCAAAGGAAGTGCTATACGTTAACTGTGGTGCTGGTTACAGGACTATATACATTGGCAAAACTCAACAAATTGTCCACATAAAAGGGGGAATTTTATTGTACATTAATTATACTTCAATAAACCTGGTTTAAAAAAAAAACTGCTCTGGCTCTGTGGAGGATGAATTGGAAGGCAGCATAAAGCTAGGGTGCAGGGAGAGTGGTCCCTGAGTAGGGCCAGCTACTTTGGAATACTGAGTTTGAGACATCCCACAGATGCCAAAGCGGAGACATTAAGCAAACTGTTGCTATGAGTTCAAATTCCTGTCTTCATCACAATCTCTTTCTGAACTGTTTCTGCTCTTCCCGTTGGTTTAGAGATTTGTGAACTGCACATTCCGCCATCTTACCTCTTTGCCAGGGGAAACGATTTCAACTCCAATGCCCTTTCTAATAGCACAGCCACTTGATAAAGTGGCTATTTAAATGGCAATTAATTCAATTTTAATTAAGTTAAAAATGCAATTTCTCAGTTGCACTAGCCCCATTTCAAGTGTCCAATGGCCACATTTCCATCATCACAGAAAATTCTATTGGAGACTGTTGCTCTAGAAAGTTATCTCTAGGGGCGCCTGGGTGGCTCAGTTGTTAAGCGTCTGACTTTGGCTGGGGTCATGGTCCTGGGTTCCTGGGATCAAGCCCAGCATCGGGAGCCTGCTTCTCCCTCTCCCACTCCCCCTGCTTGTGTTCCGTCTCTAGCTGTGTTTCTCTCTGTCAAATAAATGGATAAAATCTTTAAAAAAAAAAAAAAAAAGAAAGTTATCTCTAAGTTTTCTTAACATTCATCGATTCCAGGGATCACTTCAGAGTAGTTGGCAAGTACCACAGGTTCTTTGCTATTAATGAGTGACAGTAAAATCTCAAGGCATGGTTTTATAAAAGTGAATGACACTTGTAGAAACTGCAGAAAAAAATTTCACCTTTCAGGCTGGGCTTTTTCTCTGAAAAACCAAAATGCTTTAATTTTTTAAAAAATGATTTTTAGAAGAGGCAGGGGATTTTGAAAAGTATATTGTTCTGTCCTCCCTTTTCAGAAAGACAATATGAAGAGTTTTGATTTTTTCTTTCTACATGAATAAAGTTAATAAAGGGGGTCTAGATCCCTTCCAGCTGCCACCAGAAACAACCACAAAACCATGCTAATTCAAACTAAGTCGTACCCTTCCAACTGAATAGAAAAATCAGAAAGAAAAATAGAGGCCCCCGCAAGGCAGTTAAATTACCCAATTTACTTTGTTCTCTTACTATGACCACTGCTGTTCAGGCTTAATTATTTGATATTGCTTCATACATCCTAATATATGTGTCAGCACCCTCTCTGCAGGTCTCTTCAATTACAGCTCTGTACAGAGACTACCTGGGTTTCTCTGAGAATTAAAGCATTTGCAGATTAGTAGCTTCCAAATTAATAGGCTCAGAGGTAACTATACATGACTCTGTTACCAGTCCCCAGTGAAAGCAATTAACAAGAAGGGTAACAGGAATGTGGTGCTTTTTCCCTAGGAGTCTGGCGCCTCCCATGGGACAGCAGGCCTCCCAGAGACACCATGCTGACAGTGCAAAGTGCCCTAGAATCCTTTAATCCGAATGTTGCTGCTCAAATTCTCCATGGGGGCTATGTATCAGAGGGAACCACAGAGCAAACCGGTGGGTGGCTCCTCCACTCATTAATCTTTATGGCAAAAAAAGGGATGCAGTTTTAGAAAGAAGAAACCACATCACCCCTTGTTGTAATCCAGATTTGCCTTCAGTACAAATCACCTGAGTACTGATACAGTGTGCAGTGTTCTTCCAGCAAGGGCTCAGTAAATTCTTGTTGCATAAATCCGTGGATGGAAGCCTGGTACACAGAAGGTAGTCAATAAATATTTGTTGAATAAATGGAGAGAATCACCCAAGACACTGTCCAGGTGATGGGGAAGGGGAAATGGGGTATTTATTATGAAATTACTGTATGACAGATTGCTATAATATGAAGCAAAGTACTGCAAAGAACTAACAAGAGCCCTGGGGCCAGATGCCTGCATTCAAATCCAATTCGGCCACATAATGGGAGGCCTTGGCCAAGTCACTTGAGATCAGCCAAACAGGGATCATCTCCCCCATTTGGAAAAAAGGAATAACATCGACTTATCTTGGTTCTTTCATGAATTAGAAAAGGTAAATGTAGATAAATCACTTAGCATAAGGGCTAGCATTAGGAAGGCACGAAATACAAAAATGGTTAAAAAAAAAAATCCCTAGTAAATGCTAAAGTAACTTGAGGCTAACCACGTGCCTGTCACTGTGCCACATATCCTCAATATATCATAAAATTCGGGGTGCCTGGATGGCACAGTTGTTAAGCGTCTGCCTTCCGCTCGGGTCATGATCCCTCCCTGCTCCACAGGAAGCCCGTTTCTCCCTCTCCTACTCCCCCCGCTTGTGTTCCCTCTCTCGCTGTGTCTCCGTCAAATAAAGTCTTAAAATATATATATATATATCATAAAATTCTCACGGCAGCCCTATGAGGCAGGCACGACCCTCACCTTCAGACAGGTGAGAAAGCTGATGCGCTCAGAGGAGATGGCAGGCTAGGGCTGAGCCCGGATTTCGAACCAGGGATTCGAACCTGGGCAATACGTTCCCCGCACACTCCTATTCCCTATCTGGTATTTTCCACTATTCTAGCATCAGCAGCCACCTAAAGCTGCGAAACAGGCACTTTATAGTTTTGTGTTTCTTTTAATGGAATCCACTCCAAAATCCTGTGAGGGAAGGTTACCTCCACGCAGCTGAGGCTCAGAGAAGTTCTGCGACTTATCCAAAGTCACTAAGCCTCGAGCACCCAGCCTCGCAGAGCAAACCCTCTCGCTCACCACCCAGGTGTTGGGAAGCCTCTCCTCAACACTAACTCGCGCGCAGTCTCTGCGCTCTGGTGTCCCAAGGCAGACCCTAGTCCCCGGACCCCCGCGGGGAAGCCCCATATCCCGTCCGTGCCCGCCCCAACCGCCTCCAAAGGTCATCAAGGCTCCCCTCGCCCGCTCGGGTCTGACAGCTCCGGGTCACCCCCTTATCCCTCTTCCCCAGCCCCGGCTGGAGGGTCGCTCCGCCACCCCCGAGACGGACCCGGCAGCGTGGGGGAGGGGAACGGATGAGGGCGCATGCCCAGAGGGCTCCATTTGGCCTCCGGCTCACCTGGGAGTCGCGGAACTCCACCACCACGTTCTCGCTGCTCCATCGCGCCGCCATCTCCTGCACCCGACCGCCCCCGCCCTAAGACTGCGCGTTTCCACTCCCCTAAACCCGCATTCCCGGGCTCGGTGAGCCCCACGCAGCCCGCGAGTAAGCCCTGCCACGCCCCGTCCCCCTCTTCCGCCAGACCTCAAACCATTGGCTGACCCAAACACAGGCTCCGCCCCCTCTACCAGCTCCTCCAATTGCCGCACCGCACCTACCCAAAAAACAGGCGCGCCCCCTCCACTTCCGTCACTCGGTCTCAGTGACCCTCGCTCCCCGCAGCTTTGCAGGCACACGCCCCGTGCCGCAAGCTCTACCGGGAGTCGTAGTCCGAGGGTGAGCAGCGAGTGAGTAACTCGCGGAGAGCTCGCGAGTGCGGGTTTGGCGAAGGGAGTCAGTAGTGTATAGTAACAAGCTGAACGTCAGAAGCAGATGTGAGAATCCAGCGGTTTTCTATGAAGCCAGACATTGAAGAGATTTGCCACTCTTCCCACTAAAATTTTTTCATTTTAGGAAACGGATTTTTTTACTTACAAAATGTATTATTAATATTAATGTGCATTAATATTCAAGTGAAATCATGAAAAAATATTTTTTAAATTCTCAGTTTTAATTTCTAATAGTTATGTGGTGCCTGGGTGGCTCAGTGGGTTAAGCATGGGACTCTTGATCTCAGCTCAGGTCTTGATCTCAGGGTCCTTAGTTCAAGCCTCGAGTTGGGCTCCATGCCCAGCATGGAGCCTACTTAAAAAAAAAAAAATAGGGGCGCCTAGGTGGCTCACTCAGTTAAGTGTCTGCCTTAGGCTCAGGTCATGATCCCAGGGTCCTGGGATGGAGCCCGGAATGGGACTGCCTGCTCAGTGGGGAGCCTGCTTCTCCCTCTCCTGCTCCCCCTGCTTGTGCTCTCTCTCTCTCTCTCTCTGTCAAATAAATAAAATATTTAAAAGATAATAAAAAATAATAATAATAAATAATAATCCCTAATAGTTACTTACTATCAGTAGATACAGCCCACATAAAAGTTTGGCGGGGAGGGTCCTTAACAATATTTAAGAGCGTAAAGAGATCCTGAGATCAAGAAGTTTGAGAACCACTGTGCTAACAGTGTGGTGAGTGCTGAGTTCTCTTCTTCTGTCCCACCCTTTCAAATCTTAGCTTACCTAGCTTAGCTTCAATTTCTTTATGAAAAGGAGAAATGACCTACTTTGTTAGTTTGGTTCTTATAAGGAGTTAAGCACAGGGCCATTAATGTAGTCAATACTCTTGCTCTTGTTAATATTACCACTATTTCTATGTACAAGTCCCTGAGTGAATAGAGATGAGAAAGATTACCTTCCTTCCCGGAGTCTTGCATGGAATGGGGAAAGAAAGACATATCAACAAATTAGGGTGACCAACTTGCCCAGGAAACCCTTCCGTCCAGACAAAGTGGGACAGTTGGTCACAGTACAACAAGTGTACACAACAAGGGAGAATGAATTGGGTTTTATAAAAGACTGGCAAGCAATGTGCGGGGAAAGGACAGCCTAAATAAGAAACCCGATGTGGCATCCTGAACAAGGTGACATTTAAGATTTTCAGTATAACATTAGCATTTTCATAGAATACACTATCAGAAAAAGCATTTCAGCACTGAAAGTGAACAAAGACCCTTAAGGGTGAAGAGGGGGGATAAGTTCCAAAGATAAAGCAGTTCCCCCAAAAACAGTCACAAACCTGTGCTGCTTTCTTTTCCTTCAGAATACACATCACAATTTGTAATTCAATATCTGTTTGTTTAAATATTTTCAAGCTTCGGGAGGAGAGGGACCAGATCTGTTTTATTCAGCCTTGCATGCTGACTACACATCAAGGCACTCCCTATTTGTCCAATTAATGAACGGGAAAAGCATATAGATTCAGGCCCGCAGAGTACGGTCTAGGGGAAAAGGATGCCTTCTGTGAAACCAAAAGTAATTTCTAAAACCATGCAAGGTCTTCACTTGTAACCTCTTTACACCCACAAGGGGATACAGAACCACAACATGTTCTCCTCAAAACCCTTCACCTATTAGTTATTCTCACACACTGCAGCCCTTTAAAAACTCCTCTAGCCCTGGCCTTCACCCTCCTGTAGTGGCCTTTCTTCTTGCCTCCCAGTTTCCTCCCAGTTCTCTATCACAAAAGGCCAAAGGCTGCTCTGGAAAGAAGGGCTTCAGCTCTCCCCAGGAAGGGGAAAAACTGCAAACCAGGTTCAAGACCAGAGAGAAGGAAAGATAAAGAATACTTTCTTTTTTTTTTTTTTTAAAGATTTTTTTTTTTTATTTGAGAGAGAGAGAATGAGAGAGAGCACATGAGAGGGGGGAGGGTCAGAGGAAGAAGCAGACTCCCTGCCGAGCAGGGAGCCCGATGCGGGACTCGATCCCGGGACTCCAGGATCATGACCTGAGCCGAAGGCAGTCGCTTAACCAACTGAGCCACCCAGGCGCCTGATAAAGAATACTTTCTATGCACGTTCACGCTGTCACATGGGAATAAATGAATCCATTTGTTTAACATGCCATATTCTTACTTGTTTATTTGCCTACAGCCTTGGATGTAGTAGGTGCTCGATAAATACCTGCTAAGTGACCAGCAAATAATCAGGTATGGCTATAACTTAAGGGTATATGACAGGATGTAGCAAGAAGTACGCTAAAAAAGCTGGAAAGGGCTAGTGAGGAAGGCCCCTGCTTAGGCATTTGAGTTTTATTTTGGAGATAGAGAGAGAAACAGGTATTTCAAAGCTCTCTGTCTATATATAGCTTGGTAATCTGTTTCCCACTGGAACTGGTAGGATTGCCCTCGCCTGAGCATTTCTGCAACCCTCCCCCACTCCCACCTCTTTACTTCGTATTTGTCTAGTTCTCAAAATCTGCTTGTCATGGTTCGTAGGCACAGAAAGTACTTCGGGTTTCAAGTCCTTGGTGCTCTCTGTTCTTTCAGTGTTTTCCCTCTTAGATGTGAAAAGGGCCCCGGTAGAATTTTTGAGAGAAGGAGCATGAGCACCTTTCATACTGCCCCCGGGGTCCCTTCCTTTTCTATCTCCCACCCACACTGTCACCACAAAAGAGTGGGGACTCTGGAGCTAAATCTAGAGCTCTCTGGCTCCTCAATTGCTGTGTGCCTCCGAGACCCACAGATGAATGAATGTCCTGTCTCAATCAGAGACTGGGGACTGTTGGGGGTCCCCTGTCAAGTAGATCTCAACTTGCTGACCAGGTTACAGGGCTCTGATCACCAAAGCAAGCTCTTTCCAGAAGGTCATTTGCCAGCCACGCCACAGGAAGGCAGGGGACGTGCATGGTCAACCCAGAAATCCAGGGCTTCGGCTGGCTGTTATCAGCAGCTACCCTTGCAAGTTTAAACTCAGATCCTTTATCTTTCTAGGCCTTCGCTTCCTCTTCTGCAGAATGTGGAGTTAGCTGACCCCTCAGTCTCTTTACATCTGGGAATCTTGGAATCCTGCCCTGAGCCCCACTAGTAATTTTCCTCTCCATCAATCAACAAATATTTGTGGACGTGCACACATGCTCGTGCTCCTCGCTTTGTGCATTTGGTTGCCCATTGCCCTGGTTTCTCTAAGTTTTCTCTTTTCCAGCAAAATAACACAAATGTAAAGAGCTCTGAGAAATCTGGGGGGAATTTTCTTACTGGGAGACATTTATCCACCCCCAGAGGCGGGGCTGGGGCCTCCCTCCAAAGCCGTGGCTTAAGAAGGAGGCCACAGGTTTCCCAAGGCTTCTCAGGAGCAGGCCCCAGCTAGCTGTTTCCCTCATTTTCTGAACCTTTCAGGAACCTCCCAGACTCTACATTCTCCCAGAGATGTAGCATTATTATGCACTGGCATTTGTATGCTTTGGCAATACCCAATTTATCAGCCCTTTCTCCTGTCAGTTCTGGTAGGTTGGATCAGTGGTTTATTAACCCTGTTTCACAGCTGAAGAACAGCCAGGAAGCAACTCTACCCAGGGTCAGTGAGAGCAGGAAGATAAAAAATAATAAAACAGAGTCCTAAATCTATCGGGGACCCTTTCTGCATCTGATCGTCTTGCATCGAGAGCATCCAAAATGACTTGACACCTCCCCAGACCCATTAACTTTGAACCAAGAATCCACAGGAGAAACTTGCAGCAAAGCCCATACTGGACTCTCAACGCAACAAATGACAAAATGAAACTAATCGGAGGCTGCAGGTCTCCGTGGATGCCTGTTGCTCTGCCATGAGTCACTGTCCCCAAGATGTAAAGGGTAGAGTCAAGCTACTGAATGAAGAACTTTCCCTGCTCTGTATTTTAATATTGTAATTTCAAAGGAAATTTGTTCTTTAATAAGTGCACAAGGAGATAAAAATGGCACTGCCTGAGAAAGGCTGCCCACCAGAGTCCCACAGGACACCTAAACCTAGTGTCATCACACTGCGGAGAGTCGAGGCTTCACCCACAGTTCAGGCTCTCAGGTGTTCCGTGGTGCCAGGTGGGAGAGAGGCTGGCCTCTCATAATCAGTAGACGGGAATATAAACCTTAAAGGCAAATTCTTAAGTTACGAAAACAAATAGAGCTGTTAAGTGGATCTACTCTTTTTCACCCATTGACGAGCATTCAGAGAAAATGAACTTGTCATCCAAAGGTTCCTTGATGAGCGTGTTCACTGGAAAGCTTAGAAGTCCAGCTCTGTCCCTACTAGCCAGGTGACTTTAATGCCCATGTGTAGACTTTATCTCTCTGTCTCTCTCAATTTACATGGTTCCAACACTAAAATACAAAAAAGTACATGATGAAACAAAATCTTTGTCATGCATCCTGTCACTCCACCGTTCAGTTCCCACTGCCCACCCCCCAGGGGAACTACATCATATTGTTTCATGTTTCTATCCAGTATCTTTATGAATCTAGAAGCTAAGAAAAATACAGATCTTTATTTGGGGAGGGAGCAAGTTTCTTAATTTTTCAAGTCTTGACATCTTCAGTGCTCATTAGTCACTGGGCATTCTTATTTGTACTGATAATGATGTTGATAAATCTTCCCAGAGCTCCGTATCCCCTCAGGATATGGTCCATGCTCCCTACTGTGGCTCCTAGGACCCTCAGGTTTGCCTC